CGAACAATTCACCATGAATGAGAAATTCCCTAAATCTTAAACCCAAGAAGTTAAAGAAGACAAGGGAATCGAAAATAAAGCTAGATTTTTAAATGACAGAAAATAAAAAGACAATTAAACTTAATTGGGGTTTTTCTACCAGAAATTATTATTATAATTAATAAGTCAACAAGGTACTTTGGTCACCATGGTAGCAGATGGTACCTGTTGGAATASACCATGTAAATAAGATCATAAGACCAGTACGTACATCTTCGTACCGGATGATGAGAAAACATGGATGTTCAGCAGAGTAAAGATTTCAGCTTATCTCATAAAACTGACAGAGCTAGTTGCTTTGAAAAAGTATTGGGGAAACCAAAACACGACGAAAATACGAACCAAATATTTACAGAAGAAAATGGGTTATTTACTGATGAAAATAATGTGCAAGTGAAACACACCCATGGGGAACAGAACTGGCAAAGGACAAACGATGATTCAAGTGACAGGAATGATTCAAAATGTCAGTACTAGAATGAAATCCTGAAAATTATGAAAATTTTTAAACTTTAATTGCCATAAAAAATATGATTGATTTTTTTTTTAGTTTCATCCGAGGATATTCCGGTACAAACGATGACTAGACCAAAGCTAAGTACTACCACCCTACCCCCAGACTATAACTAAGAATTGTACACCTTATCCCAGACTAAACGCGGTTAGTCAATAGATTGCAATCAATATTTACTAACGTTTTTATTGTTTTTGTGCAGGCACAAAGCGTAGCCTATTCGCCAGACAAAAACGACCAAATCGTTAACCCTATCCCAGACTAAAACGACCAAATCGTAACCCTATCCCAGACAAAAATCATACCCTATCCCAGACCAAATGTCAAAAAGTGATACCCTACACCAGACCCAAAAGCCGAAAAACCATACCCTATAGGGCGGTTGGCGGCACATACCAGTATAGCAAATATAGGAGAGTGCCCCCCCTCCCCCGGGTTTGACACTTACAAAACAATGGTGAGCCATTTTTATTTAGCTCCAACATAGGTCTACAGTGCCTCTCTAACATTTACGAGAAAAAACGGCAAAGATGATTCCAGGTCACGAAATTTGGGAATATGCGTTACTAAAGAAAGAACTCATTACTTAATCTAGAAAAATTATAAAATTGATGTCAAAAAATAAATTCTTAATTTGCACTGGTGCGATTCAAAATCACATTCAAAACGAGGCCAATACTTCCTCAAAATTATAATTGCAAATAGTGAAGCTTTGTGTCTTAACTTTATTGATAGTGTCAAAACCAGTGAATGTTAAGCCATGCACAAAATACAATTATGATGCCACTAGTTTTACATTTGTTTTCAGCGTATGACTGAGCTGCTTGCTATTGTTCCTTGAATATATACGAGACTTTTTGAGAATCCATTTGATTATGGTAAAAGTTATCACTCTAGCTTCTTAGTGATGCCATCTAGTTAACTACTCTAGATCTAGACTTTGGTATTAATGGTCTAAAAGTGATGAAGACAGGATGACATTGAAGATAAGACAAGTCTTTCTTCCAAGGCAACACTAATACAAAGACACTAGCCTAAGCAGTCGGGTCAACCTATATACGACTTCTACATATTTTTTTAGGTTAATAAACTAAACAAAATGATTACAAGATTAGCATATACACTGCTAGCTTATTTGATTTTTTCAATCATCAAAATAGCTTTTAAAAGCAGAGAGCATGCTGGCATCATTTTTGTACTTAGCGATTGTTCATGAATAGGAATGAAAKAACAGCGAGGCCAAGCACCTTCAGGAGACTCTTTGACACCTTTGCTGCACCATTATTCCAGTGAGGGGGCTTGTCTGAAACTGCCAGCGTTTGGGCTTGCTCACAAAACTTATCAGAGCAAGAAGCAATAGACTTGAGCCATACATTGGAACCGTCAACTTGTAATGGCAGCTTGCCTTGTTTAATAGCCACAGCGAGAGCTTGGACATTATTGTTCAGATCTACTGGCACGTTAGTGTTGTTAACGATCCCAAGGCTTTTTTTATCAACAAGGACTATGAAGATGTCGAAACTGCTGGGATTATTGTTAGCTATGGTGTTACTAGGGTAGGAAAGCCAGTCCATGATATCCATGTTCCATGACATTGAGCTAGCAATGGCTGAACCAAGTCGGTAGGTGAACCTGCTYCTTGCATCTGCTTCGGGAAGAGGATTAGAAGTAGGTCGTTGTCGTCGCTGAAATTTTTGGATGGTTACTCTGGTAATCTTCACGATTTCTTTACCCTTTTCTCGTAGCCAATTTTTGGAACACTTTAAACCACACTCCTTTCCAATGTTCCACATCCCTTTCATGGATTCCCATGCAGTATCGTAATCCGAGAACGCTCCTTTGATGACGAAGAAGATCTTAAAGTATTCTCCACATTCAAGATCACAGATGGATGGCGCRTCTTTGTCAGGATTCAAGTAACATGGTGTATGGGATACAAAAGCCCGGTCTCTTATTTCCTTGCACGTTGGCTTACTCCATGGACGCAGTAAGGGTACTAAAGATACCTGAAGACACTTACGAACACCATCTATCCAATTTTGTCCCTTTTCAGTAAACCAGCTTTGGTGTTCATCGTAAAGTCGACAAAACTTCTCGGCATATGCTATTGCATAGGCATTGGTGGTGGGCTCGCAAGGGTACTTTCTTTCCAAACAGTTGCGATACCAGTCACACGATTTCCCGGACGGACTGTAGCATTCTGCTGGCAGAGGAGTTGTAGGGGATATTGGCGGATAGATGGTAGTTTGGCTGGGACTACAGGAACAGTCGTTTGTCACGGGGCCGTTGTTTTTGTCATTGACTTCAAGCATACACTGGTACCAGCAATAAGTTCTAGACCGATCAATGCATTGGTGCCGTTGGGAGCTTTTTTGTTTGATGTATGTATCAGTCAGGCATGTTGCCCATTGGTACTGATTGTTGTATCTTGGTATCAAAATGCACTTAACAATTCCTGGCGGACCCGAAGAACGGTCGCATGCCATTCCATAATGTACCATCAACAAGAGACCAATTATTAGCCACATTTCAGAACCTTTAAAATTTCAAACATATATATATCTGTTAACTCCAATAAATAAAAGATACTTAATAAAGGATAAAGCATTTGTAAAAAAAAAAAAAAAAAAAAAAAAAANAATTTGCACTGATGCGATTCAAAATCACAGTCAAATTGATAAAGCTTTGTGTCTTAACTTTATTGATAGTGTCAAAACCAGTGAATGTTAAGCCATGCACAAAATACAATCATGATGCCACTAGTTTTACATTTGCTTTCAGCGTATGACTGAGCTACTTGCTATTGTTCCTTTAAGTTGAATATATACGAGACTTTTTGAGAATCCATTTGATTATAATAAAAGTTATCACTCTAGCTTCTTAGTGATGCATGCCATCTAGTTAACTACTCTAGATCTAGACTTTGGTGATGAAGACAGGATGTTCGACATTGATGATCAGACAAGTCTTTCTTCCAAGGCAACACTAAYACAAAGACACTAGCCTAAGCAGTAAGGTCAACCCATATACGACCTCTACATATTTTTATAGCTTAATAAACTAAACAARATGATTGCGGGATTAACATAGAGTGTGCCAGCTTATTTAATTTTTTCAATCATCCAAATAGCTTTTAAAAGCAGATAGCATGCTAGCATCATTTTCGTACTTAGCGATTGTTATTGAATAGGAATGAAATAACAGCGAAGCCAAGCACCTTCAGGAGACTCTTTGACACCTTTGCTGCACCATTATTCCAGTGAGGGGGCTTGTCTGAAACTGCCAGCGTTAGGGCTTCAATAGGACTCTTTGACGTCTTTGCTGTACCATTATTCCAGTGAGGGGGCCTGTCTGAAACTGCTAGCGTTTGGGCTTGCTCACAAGACTTATCAGAGCAAGAAGCAATAGACTTGAGCCATACATTGAAACCGTCAACTTGTAATGGCAGCTTGCCCTGTTTAATAGCAACAGCGAAAGCTTGGACATTATCGTTCAGGTCTATTGGTACTTTAGTGTTGTTAACGATCCCAAGGCCCTTTTTGTCAGCAAGTACTATGAAGATGTCGAAACTGCTGGAATTTTTTCCAGCTATGGTGTTGCCAGGATAGGAAAGCCAGTCCATGATATCCATGTTCCATGACATTGAGATAGCAATGGCTGAACCAAGTTGGTAGGCGAATCTGCTTCTTGCATCTGCTTCGGGGAGGGGATCTGAAGAACGTCGTTGTCGTCGCTGAAATTTTTGGATGGTTACTCTGGTAATCTTCACGATTTCTTTACCCTTTTCTCGTAGCCATGTTTTGGAACACTTTAAACCACACTCGTTTCCAATGTTCCACATCCCTTTCATGGATTCCCATGCAGTATCGTAATCCGAGAACGCTCCTTTGATGACGAAGAAGATCTTAAAGTATTCTCCACATTCAAGATCACAGATGGATGGCGCATCTTTGTCAGGATTCAAGTAACATGGTGTATGGGATACAAAAGCCCGGTCTCTTATTTCCTTGCACGTTGGCTTACTCCATGGACGCAGTAAGGGTACTAAAGATACCTGAAGACACTTACGAACACCATCTATCCAATTTTGTCCCTTTTCAGTAAACCAGCTTTGGTGTTCATCGTAAAGTCGACAAAACTTCTCGGCATATGCTATTGCATAGGCATTGGTTGTGGGCTCGCAAGGGTACTTTCTTTCCAAACAATTGCGGTACCAGTCACACGATTTCCCGGACGGACTGTAGCATTCTGCTGGCAGAGAAGTTGTAGGGGATATTGGCGGATAGACGGTAGTTTGGCTGGGACTACAGGAACAGTCGTTTGTTACGGGGCCGTTGTTTTTGTCATTGACTTCAAGCATACACTGGTACCAGCAATAAGTTGCAGACCAATCACTGCAGCGGTGCTGTTGGGAGCTTTTTTGCTTGATGTATGTATCAGTCAGGCATGTTGCCCATTGGTACTGATAGTTGTATCTTGGTAGCAGAATGCACTGTACGACTCCTGACGGACCCACAGAACGGTCGCATGCCATTCCATAATGTACCATCAACAAGAGACCAATTATTTGCCACATTTCAGAACCTTTGAAATTTCACAAACAATTGTTTGTTAAATTCAAATTTTTTACAGAATGTTTTGCAGGATAAAACATTTGTAAAATAATGGTAATGCATTAAGAACAGCCCTATATAAAATGTGTTGAGAAAAAAAATTGAAGCTAGTTTAAAGAGGTTTGCAATGCCAGTGAGGCAAAGAGGCATTCTGCGAACTCTAGATCTGTATCACGTTGTTGCAACCCAATACCATTGAGAGGTTGATGAAAAAACTGGGTCAAGTTGGCATTGCAGTGCATTATGGGGTTGTCTAAGATGGCTTCTATTGCTTTCCCTGAATTCGGCTTAAAGCTACTGCAATGCCAACTTTTCTCAGTTTTTCAGTTTCTTCAACCTCGGAACGATTAATATAGCAATATAAATCGATGAAGACCATGTCTTGAATGGAAAACCGCTACTATCTGTCGTTTACACATGACGGAAATCTATTGAAAAAAGGATTTCCGTCTCCGTAAACTCGACGTAAATTTTTGACTACCAAATTTCCGATTAAATTTCCGTTTCGGAAATCCTTTTTTTTTCGCGCTGTGGAGAAAATAGAAAATAAATGACACAAATTAAATCTAGAGAAAGTTGGTTTCCCTTAGAAAATAGTTTCCATCT